CAAAGAATTCTGCTTAATGCAATACCATGAAATTATTCTAGACTCGCAGGCAAAGTAGAATAATGTAGTCGTGAAATAGCACTATTTTCCCGTTTTTCCGTTGTACACTCTAGGTATTATCCGCTCTTGATTATATATATATATCTATATATAGGGGTGTCATCCACAAAAATTAATCTATGGTGTGGGGACAGATATCATGATGCAAAAACCCTAACCCTAACCCTGATCCTAACACTAGTGCTGCCACGTTGCGGTACTGTCCCTTCACGCCCGGGGGATAGCATTTCCCTATGCATATAGCCTCGTTGCGCCATCTATTGCACTCCATATGTACTACACTGATGTACACTGATGTACAGTGATGTCAACAAAAAAGTTAAACTGGTTTTTTTACAGGAAACAAAGCGCGCCGAGTAGCCAAAAATTTTGTACGAGCACTTCGAGGAAATGTCTAGCTACCTGGGTAGTGAAACCCGTCGTGCAATGGCCAGAACTGCTCAATGGACAATAGCTACTGCTTGCACGTGATATGTGTGGATACAGTTGCTCTCCAGAAATCACTGCTATTTCCATATGTTGTTATAACCGCCCCCTCATCTTTCATTTTTCCATTACTGATCAGTTCGCAGAAGTGCTTAGTGCTCTATAGATGTATATACAGCTGCCCGTTTTGTTTTTAACTTGCTGTGCTTTAAGGGAAGGCCAGCGCCCTTATATATTGCATAATTGACAAAGGAATGCCGACTAGAGTATGGCTTGTAAGTTCGTACTGTGTAAGCTTAGTCTTAAAAGGGAAATGTCAAAAATCTGTGTGAGTGTGTGTTTGTGGTATAAATACATATAATTGGTAATAATTATTAATTGAGTTGTTCTTTTTTTCTGAATTGTATTGAGCAAACATACAACATGAACGCACGCTCGTCCTCGCACACACGAACGCATGCACGCTCGCACGTAAGCAGAGGCGTGTTCAACAGTGCGAACGCTCGCGTGCACTCGCCTTCTGAACGAGACCGCGCGGTCGAGCGCTCGCGAGCGCGCGTGAGTTGTTTTCAAGATAGCGACGGGCAATCTGGCGAATGCGAATCTAACACTCCTGACTTCAATTTCAATCTATTTCAACTTCATTTCATTTTTCATTAATTCATTCACTTCTGAATTCAATTCATATCAATTTCGTCTGCTAATTCGTTTAACAGTACTTGTTCGAAGACATTAAAATCTCGCGATTAAAATCTGCTGAGGAAGCCGCCATCTTGGATAAAGCGAGCGCTCGTGTGTCGTTCAAGTGGCGCTGCGTTTGTGCTGCGAGCGTTTGCTGCGAGCGTTCGCGGTGTCGAACACGCCTCAGGTATACTCACGCACGCACGCACGCACGCACGCACGCACGCACACCCATCGTATCCGAACCTCTGAATGTCATTAATCTGAACGAAATATGACGAAGAAACTCGAATATTAATAAACCAAATTTAGCAAATTAATTACAGCACGCAATCTTTTAAGACTGCAAATCACAATCAAAAATCATGAACAATTCACAAGTAAAATACACGTACGGCTATTGCGATCCCACATATACATTTCCCCATCCTTGTAAATATCTATGATTGTAATTGTAATTGTAAGATCCAGAGAGACATGATACAAGATTGCGTGGCACAGCTTTGCTGTTGATCCTGAGCGCTGCGCGCGGATGTCTTTTTTTTTTAATCTCTAGGGGGCGATATTGTACAGGTAGGTTCCCGCCCTCCTTCAAGAGCGGAGGGGATGGCCTCCCCCATCCTCCGAGATTTACGCCTGATATAACAGTCCGGTCTACTACGCTAGACTTACATTCAGTTATAATTCAGTTCAATTATGGTTTAAGTGTTAAGCTGGTTTGTATAGTTAGAAGTTGTGAGTACAGCGCCATCAGGTACTTTAAGGGGAGTGGAATTAGGAAACACGTTAATTTATGATCGTAGTTGGGACTACTAGAAATTTTTATATTAATTAATTTTTATGGTGCGTAAGACGCCACAAAACATTTCTTCTTAACTTAAATAGTCTTCATCCGGAGCCTCCCCGGTGACACACCTGTTGACAAGATAAGTTGGCGCGTGTTAGTACTGATAGCGAGATTTACAAACCCACACTGTGCACAGTTTTTGTACGCTCACACAATGTTCACGACCACCCAGCTTGGTGTCGAACAGAAGGCCAAGGGGATTGGTTTGGCCGCCTGCTGGGATTTCTTGCTTAATAAATAATCGTAGCGTTATTAGTTTATGGCATTGTTTTGCCTAGGAGCCGTAATATTGACGCGGAGTCGCAATATTTAGGAACTGATTTCAGACTAGCTTTCCAGATGACGATCCCTCACCGAAGGCAGCTTTGGTCAGAGCCACGACACGAACCCGGTCCACACCGTTAGGTATGGTCGTACATACTCTCAGTACTGGAATACTTGCGTGAGAATGATTAGAGTTTACCAAGGCTTTGATTTCATATGTGGTCCAAGAGGGCGCGTTACTAGAAAACGGCACGTTATAGATCTATCTAGATAGTTACATGGATGGGCGGCAAATGTATATGTGTATTTTAAGATCGGCAATAGCCGTCTCAGATAGTACGTGGGTCATCCGACATGGAATATTATGGTATGCGCCAGTCATGGGGTCGAGAATTGCATAGTGTTCGAACATGGCATGACTATTTTTAAATTTATTGTTATCTAGTTTTCTGATTTGCAGTTTACAGAGTGACCGGTTCGCCGGTTGCATGTGTGTAAGTTTGGGCTAGATTGGCTATTGTGGCTCCCGACCCCCTAGCTCTTTTATTAATATTCGAGTTTTGCTTCGTCTGGACCATTTTCATTGGTCCGGGGCACGCGTGATTAATGGATCTCGGATCAGAGGTGCAGACGCATAAGTAAAACATGTTTGTTATTTTTCTACTCTTGATTGATATCAGGAGGTCGGATTACGCGCCCGGTATTCGTGCTGGATCTCCCCCTTACTCTTCGGTGGGTCGGCGCGTTGCGGTGATTCTGGCGCTGCAGTATACCTGTGGTAGGGCTGTAGCTTCTCGAACACCCTTAGCGGATACGCTCGCAAGACTATCTCAAACGCAGCGTTTCTATCTCTGTAGAAACGCCACACGTAAGGCCGTTCGCCGGTATCATATTGCATGAGCGGTTATCCGTTCGTATCTCAGTGCCGATTTCTCATGGCGCAATTTTATGTGTTTCGACAAGTCTGTTAAACGATTAGCGGTACGTTGATAGGATATAGAATTAGAAGTGAATGAATTAATGTGTTATATATAGAATAGATATAGAAATGAGGATGGAAATGAAGTCGGCGTGCATATTAGTGTGTGTATGCGCATTCGCCAGAGTGTTGCGCCACTTCGCATATTACCTCTGAAAACAAGTCCACAGCCGTCGTGTCGACGCGCGGCTGCTAAAAAGAAGGGATGCTCGTTTAAGAGGGTGATGTGCCCGTGATCGTGGCCAGGTTGACGGCGTCTGCTTGCATTAACGATGCGCGCGAGCGCGTGCATGGGGGAACGGTCGTGGCATCCTGACTGCTAGGAGGGGGCGGTCACTGTGCTGATGAAAGAACAGCCGGGCCGTTCTCGGGTTCGGTTATGGGGTGTATCTACACCTTCTCTAGATTCTCTCTCGGGGTAAGAAAACGCAGAATGATCAATTAATATGATTACCAAGTAGATGTTTTGTATTTTCCTCACTCAGACGGAAAAAGTCGCACAAAACACACACTACCAGATTTTTGACATTTCCCTTGTGAGACTAAAAGACTTAAGCAGTACGAATTACACAGCCATACTCTAGTCGGCAGTCCTTGTCAACTATTCAGGTGATATAGCGGCGGCTGGGGCCTTCACCTTAAAGCCACTAGAACTGTTAAAAACAAACGGGGCAGCTGGTTACATGGGGAATTATCATAAGAGCAATAAGTTAACTGTCCTTTAAGCGAACGACTAGGAGCATAAATGGAAAACAAGGGAACGGGGTGAGAAGGCTGGGGCGTAGGAAAAAGTTTGCAGGAGTCTAGAATACCGACCATGAGGAAGATAGCTCAGTGATTTGAGTCGAGGGAAGCGAGGAAGATGAGCGCACACATATCACGTGCAAGGCGAGGTAGCTTGTGGCCAGCGATTGAGCGATTTCTGCCAGGAAATGCGCGACGACGGGGTTGTGCACTACCAGGTAGCTTGACTTTCTCGAGGGTGGGCTGGTACACACATGTTATTGGGCTACTCGGCGCGCTTTGGTTCCCCTGTAAAAAACCAGTTTTAATTTTTTGTGACGTCAAGGACTGTGAATTGCAAGAGTGATGTGAGTAGCAATATGGAGATAGCAATAGAGGGAGCCAACGAGGGCGAATAGGAGTAGGGAAGATGCGCATTCCCCTGGCGGTGGGGAGGCGGCAGTACCGAACGTGGGCGGCACTACGGTGGTTAGAGTAGGAATGTAAGGGACGTCATTAGGGGCGATCAAGGGGTAGCAGGGGTTAGGGTTAGGGCGTTTTTGCTGCTGATATGCTGTGCACGCCATAGCAAGTGCTTCTTGTGGGACGACACTCCGGAATCGAAAAGAGGGTAGCATCGAGAGGAGATATAGATATATAGGGAGGTACTTATGATTATTTTCTTTTAATCTAATAATTATATATATTATAAGATTTATTTTATATTTTATATTGATATATAAATATATGATAGATATAAA